TATATATATATATATATATATATATATATATATATATATATATATATATGTCACGTGAAGATGAACACATGAGGAGGAGGAGGCTGGCGTGCACGTTTCACGCGAGTGATGGATTAGGTGGAACGGCTGCGACATCGCAAGTAATAATAATAATAATAATGAGGAGGATGACGACGATGAGAGAGGGAGATTGCTTCCACGGCATGAAGTGTTGGAGTGGGCGTGGGAGGGCGAAGTCAGGGAGGAGAGGGTGGCGGACGGAAAGAGCCTCGAGTACTCGGAGACGCAGTCATCGGCGGGTGGATGCTCTCATTGTTGCGTCCTTTGAGCTCATCTTTTTCGTCCTATGCTCTCTCGCCTTTCAATTGAAGAAACTGATGCTTTTAATTATTATAAATAAAATAATCACTTAAAAAAAAATATTTTATCATTATATCAAGATTCGTTGTACCGTATTGTATCGACGTTTCGATCCAAACTCGATACGGTACGGTACCGATATACTAGACGGTACATTAAGACATATCGAACAGTACACTCTAGAATACTGAATATATTTTTATTTTTTTTCATGTAGTAGTGCTACAGTATAGTACTATAGCACTATAACGGTACCGGACGGTTCGCGTACCGGTAACCTGTCGGAACGATACGTACTGTCCGATACGGACGGTACGTTTTAGTACGACAAACCTTGTATTATATTAAGAATATTTTAATTCACCAATTTCTACTTTTCATATGTGTTTTGACAGAAAACTCTTCATTAGCATTGTATTAGAGTCGATATACATAAAAATAGAATTGAATGAAGAAAAAAAGATAAATGAAAGAAATTTTTAGAAGATTTAAGGAGTCATATATTTGGATCTAATAGACTTAAGTTCATTAAAACTATCCAATATGGATTCATTAGAACTATCTGTCTCATTTATTAGCACCTGCCATTCTTGTACTTTTGCCTTCTCCAAAGAATCATCATCGAATACTCGTACACAGACTGTCCTTTTTGTCCATGTTCTTTGCTCCCTGTCGGTGCCATTTATTTTGCCATCATATAGATGTTTCCAAACGCACATTTTAGATATAAATCATTCCTAAATTGGATGTTTATTAATCGTATAATTATAATCTTTTGTCAATTATAGTATTCTCCTTTGTCTCTTAAGTAAGAAAGTATTTTAAAATCTTATGATCAATGTAGATTTTATATTTCTCATCATAATGATAACATCATTAATTTTTTATGATAAAAACTATAGTTGTCAATTCAGAATAATGAGTTGGATAATTTTTCTCATATTTCTTTAATTGTCTTGAGGCATAAATTATAACTCTACCATTTTACATCAAAATATATTATATTCTATTTTTAGATGTATCGTTATACATTACGAATACTCTTGACTCGGTTGGTATAATAAGAATTTGAGTTGAAATTAATTTTTTTTTACAAGTGATTGTGACGAGACATGTATTAAAATATCATAAGAACGAAGAATTGATTTATATCGAGAGAAAAATATATTACTTAAGAAATTTGTCATTTATAAAAATATTTTTATTATTCCTAAACTTTTAATGTTGATAATTTTTCACTAGCCCAAAAATCTTGCTTGTATAGTTTAATTCCTCCTACCATTGGAAGCATGTCTCCATCTGACCCGGAAAGATGCTTACGGATGCAACTCCTTGCAAGCTACTAAGAGAAACAAGCAATACCAAACGGAGATGTTGGATTCCTTGGCACCAAATGTCTTGAACCCACTTGATCCTATCGACAAGACACCGTGATGAAGTGCATCATCAAGGGAAAAGAACACGAAAAGGAACACACAAGTCTTCGTACGTGACAGCTCCATGCATAGCACGTTGAGATGATTGCACCCGACATCAATGGCCGATTTGCACGGTCCATGTCTTTTGTGGCGTGGCATCACGCATCCCATTTAATATTAGAGCTGCCTTCTTCTTCTTCTTCTTCCTCGATCAAACGCAACATGTGGGGGGGCTGATGGAGACCATGGAAAGCAAACATGGAGAGACTTAGCTTTAATTTATGAGCATTTGAAGTTGACGCTTACGCCATTTCGATCCACCAAATTGAGGGCTTGTTTTCAGTGCTCGTTGGACCGAATCGTGTCGCGTTAGGATCAGTGTGAAGTGAGAGAAAAATGACTGTGAATAGCCTCCTTCGTTGACCTCCACATATATTGCTCGTGAGATTCACGTTGTGAGAACATATTCTGCTGTAGTTGGAAGTGCTGCAATCACAGACCATATCGCTTTAATGCCCACAGACCTTTGTCCATTGCAGATGTAGATCGTAAAAAGCCAAGACAAGTGTTCACATACGCTCAGACTATGTGAGAGAGAGAGAGAGAGAGAGAGAGAGAGAGAGAGAGAGGTGAGCTTTCAAGCTGTAGCTTTGTGAGCACAAGTCTGGTTGCCACAGTCAACAGTAATTCACCAATATGGCCATCATATAAGTCATGGTAGCAACTCATTCCAACAGATTCAGATTCATGACAGTTCTTTATATCTGAACCAAATAAATTGGCTTTCTTTCCATTAGAGAAAGAGAGAGAGAGAGAGAGGTGAGCTTTCAAGCTGTAGCTTTGTGAGCACAAGTCTGGTTGCCACAGTCAACAGTAATTCACCAATATGGCCATCATATAAATCATGATAGCAGCTCATTCCAACAGATTCAGATTCATGACAGTTCTTTATATCTGAACCAAATAAATTGGTTTTCTTTCCATTAGAGAGAGAGAGAGACAGGTGAGCTTTCAAGCTGTAGCTTTATGAGCACAATTCTGGTTGTCATAGTCAACAATAATTCACCAATATGGCCATCATATAAATCATGATAACAACTCATTCCAACAGACTCAGATTCATGACAGTTCTTTATATCTGAACCAAATAAATTGTTTTTCTTTCCATTTTTTTCCTTAAATATATAGACACTTTAGTTTTTTTTAATGTTTTTTGTGAATATTAGAAATAGATAAAATTTTGGTACAATATACATAAATTATAAATTTTCGATTAGTCTCCTATCGAAAATGGATAAGATTAAGATTGATTTATAAAGATATGATAAGTGTATTACTATTAATTTTAATATAAATGCTTTGATCAATCAATTAATTCATTTAATCTATACTCAAAAATAGTCCTGTCTAATATCCAAGTGTATGGTAGGAGAAGTGTGGCCATGACTGTTTCAATCTGCCATTGTAAATTATCAGCTCCAGCCATCAAAGCTAATGATGACTGATAATTATTGTCATCAGTAATAATTACATGAGGGCATCCATGACTGATAATTAGTGGCAGAAGGATAGCTGAAAGATACAGAAACCTGCCAACCATTACTGCGGCCAACATTAATCTGGCGTTTGAGGTAGAACATGAGCCATGGCCTTGTAAGGACATGGGTGTTCGAGCAAATGGCTGGTGGGAGAGAGAGAGCCGTGAGCCTCCCAGTAAAAGAAGATCCTCTCATTGTTTTGCTTTTCGTTCACTGGATTTGATTTGCCTCCCAAAGAACTGTAAGCCAAATGGCATTGGGAGTTCCTTTCCATGTTGCTGGCCACAAAAGTTGCCTTGATCCTTCGTTTGGCTTAAAGCATTGAAAGAGACCAATGTCCTCCACCTGGATGTGAGGTATTGAGTAATCTAGATGAATGAAAGGATGACTAAAAACATAGGGCAGTGTAATCTTCTGTGCAATATGAATTCTCTTTAGAGAGTAATGCTACCAATTGCCTATTTGCATATCATAGATCCAGTAGATGCAATATATAAGTAATTTGGTTCCTCATGTTCTTTGAATTAGTTATATTATAAAAGGATAAAAGGGATGATAAAAAAAAAAAAGTTTTAGGATAAATACTTTTATATATATATTTTTTAAGAAAATACTTATGTCATATGTTATATATATATATATATATATATATACGCCATAAATCAAGATTCAATGAAAGCAAGAAAACTCTCATTCGAGTTTTCTAATAAGTGTAGTCAGCCGAATTGAAAAAGGAAAGACGAATGATATATATATACATATCTTCTCGGGGGTGTGAATCTACTTAAAACAAGAAGAATAAGTGAAGTAATTACTTTTGTTTTTTCTCAATAACATTGGCCGACGACGAGCTCACTTGAAATTTTCTCAATGAATTGTGTCAAATATAAAAATAAATAAATAAATAAATAAAATATATACATATATATGTATATGTATATATATAAGGAAATTAATTTATTATGTATATGTATGTACGGATGTTTTCATTTGGGGCGCTTCACCCTTTTATTCGACACTTAATTAACGGCGGAAGTGGATAGAGATGGGTGTTGCGACCGTAGGCTTCGCTGCAGTTTCTCCTCTTCGCGCCGTATATCTCTCGTACAGCTCGGTATTAGCTCGTTTTCCTCCTCTAAACTCTCCCCCTTCTCCTCTCTCTTTCGATTTTGGAGCTCAATCATCGTATCCACGACAGCATGTGAGCGATGGCGTATCCGAGGAACAGACGCAGCCGGCCCGGGTGGCGCTTCCTGGCCCTCACAAGTGGCGCATGGTCATCGCTTATGATGGCACCAAGTTCGCAGGTCCGATCCGACCTTCTTGGCTTCTTGGATCGTGTTTTTCTTTCCGAATAATAACTTTATTTGTAGCTTGATTCGTGTTGACGAATGTTGAGGGTCGACGATTTTATTGCGTTGATTGAAACATAATTATACTGAGAGGATTGTGCTGGTGTGTATGAACATAGTGGATGAGAAAGCCGCAAAAGGAAGGGTCTTTAATCTGTTTGACGAAATGTCTGTGCCCTCATATCTCGCATCCCTTGCATTTCGTGTGTTCGCTCCATCACCTATCTTGACAAAAAGTTGAAAATTGTATAATGTCGATATGGGTTGACATTTTAGGTCACAGATCTGATCATGGGAAATCCCGGATTGTTACTCTGGAGGATATGCTTCTTCTTCGGGGATGGTGGCCGTGATGGATGACTAGGAATATTGATCTAAGCGTACTGTAGATCCAGGCAGTTGACTTGGTGCACTATTTTGTTCTAAAATGCTAACCATGTGGTATACTAGATTTTGATAGAAATTGAAAGGTAGAAATCATTGTGCTCGTACTTGAAAGTTATATAGCAGCATTCTTGGCAAATGGCTTGGTGGAGGGGATTGCCCGTTTTACATTTCAGGCATGAATTTTTCCTGATACGAACTGGATATATTATATGCAAGTCTCATTTGGGGCTTGGTATTTCTCATGCTTGTTTGTTTTGAACAATTTTACATTTTGTACATGATGGTTGTCATAGTTGTGTTATTTTCGAACCATAGTATCCTTGCTACAATTCATTTCAAATATTGGTAAAATTCGTTTTTTTCCTGTGTATCTGCAATATTTTCGAATCGTGATGGTATAGTGTCTAGTGTTTGGTTAAAAACAAGCCATGTCTCTATCAGACAAAGGATGAATTAGTAGCTTAAATAGCTAATATCCTTTTGTTCTACTCTGTTGTGCATTCCTCAAAATGACAGTGAACTGGGTTTGTTATTTATCTGTGCATAAAATGTATCTTTCTATTAAACAAAAGAATATTTATCTGATTGGCATAACCTAAAATTACACTTCAGGTTGGCAATATCAACAGTCACCACCAACAATACAGTGCCTCATAGAAAATGCCTTAACATGCATCACAAAGCTTGATCGAAAAGACCTTTGCTTGGTTGGTGCAAGCAGGACCGATGCTGGTGTCCATGCCTGGGGTCAGGTTTGGTCATCTTAATTAATGCTGCTATGGTCCTTTCTTTTTGTTACATTCTTTTCACACTGTTTTTGTCGATATCATGAAGTAATATATTATATTCACCAAAGCGTTGATATGCATCAATTAACCTCTTAACTCACAAAAAGTTCAATCAGTCATCAGATCATCAAACATATCGTAGGTTTTACACTTGAGGCGATCACATGAGAATATATGTTGTTTCCACTTTATTCAGGTTGCACACTTCATTACGCCTTTCATGTACGACAGTTTGGATACCCTTCATGCTGCATTGAATGGGCTTCTACCTCCGGAAATCCGAGTGAGAGAAATTAGTGCAGCATGTCCTGAATTTCATGCTCGTTTCTCCACAAAAAGCAAGACTTATCAATACAAGATATACAATTATCCGGTTATGGATCCTTTTCGGTCTCTTTATGCATATCATAGTTCTTATAAACTCAATCCAGTTGTCATGAGAGAAGCTGCAGCATATTTTGTTGGGAACCATGACTTCTCATCTTTTGCAAATGCCTCACACAACGATCGCTTGGGTAATCCAGTGAAAGAAATCTTCCGATTCGACATCACTGAACTGGTAATTATGTCCACTACAGACTACAGACTTGTTTTATGCAGATTGTGCCCTGCTTTGATTATAAATGGCTCTTTTACGTACCATTTAAACTCGCTATGAAATCTTGCATTTCCCAGGATGCTCTTTTGCTGCTCGAGGTTGAGGGTACTGGTTTTTTATTCAGACAAGTGCGGAACATGGTGATTCTCATTCAACAGCTTGTTATTCTGAGAAAAATAAAGGAAAATTGGTTAAGAGCTTGTAATTCTCATTCAAGAAGTCATGCATCCAACATATATCATTATTATAGAAAGTCCATCTACCTGTGAGCTTGTACTCCACACCTGAATGTTCTACCATGTGTTCTCTCTTCAGGGATTGTGTCAGACTTATTGGATCTCTTTCTTGTGGTAGGGCATCTAATAACATTCGTGGTTATACATATGCAGGTAGCTTTGCTGCTTCAGATTGGAAGAGAAGCACTGCCTCCTGATGTTGTACCAAAGATCATGGCAGCTCGGGACCGGAAAGAGCTTGCAAAGGTTGCATTATCAGCTCCACCACAAGGACTCTGTCTCATGTCTGTAAACTACAACAACGAAAGCTTGGAACCACCTGAAGGTTGCCCAGCCGCCAGCTTCGGCAGGACCCACAGTGTGAGTAAATGTAAACTGGCATTTTACTGAATCAAGGCAATATTTTTTGACTCACAAATCAATTCTTTGATACCAACTCCACATGAAAAAGCTGACAGAATGCGATACATTAAGAAAATAACAGTAATTATCTCTTCATGTTTATAATTAAATACTCCTTCACTTGATCATATAAAATAAGAAAATAGCCAAAAAAATAAAAAAGCATTTTACTTACATCGGGCAAACACCTTCCATTAATAAATCATCATTTATCCTCATTGATATTAGCATTTTGACTCCCGAAAAAAATTTTCGAGGTGATTTTTGACTCTTAAAGGATTTTCGTTCTTCTACTCTTCAATCAATATAAAATAAAATATATTTATCATCGTGCATAATAAATCTGCACAAGTTATTTTGCAAATTAGAAAAGAAGACTTGTATATGAGTTGGCTGTCACTGTTGTCTATTCCAATAGTGGCAGGTGATAACATCCTTGTAATTCTATAAATTTATATATGATTTTGTATTTAGTCTTGATCAGTTTATTATCTATTAAACTATTAGATTGATATTAATATTATTTTTCTAAAAATATTATGATGTTAAAAACATTTAAAATATAACAAATAATAAGTAATATCCCTCCCCCTCATATTTCACGACATAATAATAAGTAATATCCCTATTTACCCAACCACAAATGGTTGATGTTTTTCGATATAAAGATCATACAATCATTTCAAAATAAATAAGCGATAACTTTAGAACAATAAATGATTTAATAAAAATCATTATTAATCAAGAATTTTCTTCCAATAACCTTATGTTACTACAAATTGTGGATCTATAGGCATCAACAACTTTGACATCAATGAAAACACACCCTCCCCTATCAAACTTCAAAATGAATTATGTTTATGATATAGCACATTTGATAGTAAATAAAAAATCAGAGCATTCAAATTCCTTTAGATGATATGATTAGTAAACAAAACCAATTTAGAGTGTGCATTTTTATTTTTATATAACTATATTTCAGACAATGATTAATGCATGAAAATTATATAGATTAATATATGATAAATAAAAAATAAAAACATTAGATTTAGTATAGATAGTAATGTACAAATGAAGAAAGCAATGTCATACAGAATTAAATGAAATGAAAATTGTAAATATCATAAAAAAATAGTTTAATAACTGAAATAAATATTAATATTCTAATAAAAAATAGAAAAAAATAAATTTTATATAGAGATTAATAAAAATTATGTAGAAAGAAATATGAAATGTAATTAAATATCTTGGTGATTTTATTGGAACAAAACTTTATTTAAGGGGTTTTAAGAGGACTTTAGTCCTTTTACCATTCGAAACATCTGATTACTGAACCGACCCGATTTTAGGTCCGGTTCATGAGTTTTCCGGTCCGATAGGTCCGGTCCGGGTTAAAAGCTTAATGACAGGACTCCGAAACCCAAGGCTTAGGGTTTAAACTTGAAAGCCGAGAGAGAGAGAGAGAGAGAGAGGGTATTCGCGGCGGTTCGACGCTCCAAAACCCTCCTCTCCTGTTCTGAAGAGCTTCTCACCGCCAAATCGTCGATCCTTCCTCTTCTCTTCCTCCTCCGACAACCATGTCGATCGCCGCCCAACTCCAGGCTATCCGCTCCGTCCTCAGAGGGACTTCGGAGGCGCAGATTCGCCCCTCCGTTCTTTTCGACTCCAGAGCGGCTTCCGACATCGATCTCAAAACAATTTTCCCCATAGCGCTGTCAGGTACAATCGCTTCCCCTCCCCGCTTCTTGATTTTGTGTTCCCTGTTGATTTCTCATGGTTAGGGGTTTGAATTTTAGGGTTGGAGGTCCTTATCGAGTTGGATACTCGCTTCAGAAGCTACAAAGACTCTCTTTTTAGCCAGACTAGTCTCGAGTTGAATAGGGAGAAGATGGTTCCAAAGGAAGGAGAGAAGGTCAACAGGTCCATATGCTCGTACCTCCGGTTGCTTTCTGGGTACTTGCAGCTCCATGCTGCTCTCAAGACGCTTGAATATCTCATCCGCCGATACCTGTATGGTTTTCTTATATAATTTCCCCATCAAATTCTACTCTTTAGTCGTGCAACTTCAGTTAACTCAGTATGCTTCATTTGGGTAATTGCAGAGTTCATATATACAATCTGGACGAACTGATTCTCTGTGCACTACCGTTCCATGACACGGAAACTTTTGTTCGCATTGTCCAATTGCTGGATTTAGGGTTCGGATCAGCTGATGCTTTTTCTATTGCCTTACCATTATTGCTTGCTTCCTCTCGTCCCAGTTTAGTTATTTTTCTGTTCTGAAATTTTGTTCAGAAATAGCAAGTGGTTGTTTCTCGAAGGTGTCAAGGCTTCAGGTGCACCTCCACCAAGGCAAGTCATCGTGCAACAGTGCGTTCGTGATAAAGGGCTTTTGGAGACTTTGTGCAACTATGTTCGTAACTTCAATATCTTTCCCATCCCTTTCACTGCATACCTTTTACACAGTGCATCTTTGTTTTAGATTTACTACTGTTCCTCCTACTTTTGCAGACATCTCCAACAAAAGAGTTTCAGCATTCGAGACCTGTTATTTGCTTTTGTACTGCAGTTGCTGTGGAGGCTTTGGGTGCCATCCCTAAGCTGGACACTGATACCGTACAGAGGGTCTTGGGATTTGTCTTTAATGGGCTTAACCCTGCTATGAGTGGAAATCAAGATCACAAGGTAAGTTTTGAACAGAAAAATGTTTATGGTTTTACCCTTTTCCATTCCTTGGTCCTGCTTGTCACAGATGATCCAATTGGCATTTCTATTCACAACTTAGAAGTGGCCGTTGTTGGCATTATCATCCATGCCTAATATGTTTTCCAAGTATCACTCCAGAATTCATTGAAGATTGTTTTTTTCCATTCATTGTGATTTTCGGGTTGAAGAATTGGTGAGAAGTCCAAGGACAAATTGGACTTCACATGTATGACTCTGATTCATGAATTAGATGAACATGTAAATCACTCTGAAATAACACATAAAGCAATTAGATTTCAAATGTAATGATAAATATCTAGCCGGCAGGTTTGCTAAGTTCAAAGTTGTGACTTGTTTTCTCTTTTGTTAGAGTTAATCCTGTAATTGAAGTCGATACTATACCACTGTATAAAATTTTGTTACTTTTCAGGGATTCTTTAAATCAAAACTATTTTGAGTTGTATTTGCAGTAAGAGGTATTCTCTTAGGTGTTGGTATAGGAGAATTAATGATCATTAAGATATGATTTAGAGAGTTCTACAAGTTAGTTATCATGGGTTCTTGTGGGATCATGGTTTTTTTCACACAAAAGAAAAAGAGTGAACGTAATCTTCTCAAAAGTTAATGTCTGAAAAGGTTCAGCTACTGTATATGTAAGAAAATTGTGCGTACTTGAAATTTTTTTTCTTCTTGTAATTGGTAATAGATGAATCAATGACTTATTTGTTGGTTTATAGCCATATCTTTCTCATCTCTTTCTTTCTTCTTTTTTTTAAATTATCTACTGTTCATTCTTTGATTTGTAGTTTTGTAATTGATTATTTTTCATCTTGTTACTTCGTTATAATTAGTATATTGATAGGTTTTCTGTTAACCATTATTAAAGTTTGCTATTCTCCATGAGATCGACCCTTTGTCAAAAGAAATTATGTAAATTGTACTTGGTTTGTGTTATTTCTTCAAATGCGCTCACTCTATTTTGTTAGTATTAGAGCGAGTTGTCCATTGGTGATAATTGATACTCTTACGAAGACCATCAATTATTGGAGATCCAACGACCTTAAATGGGGGTACTATTCCATGAATAATCTGTAGGATTGCTAATTGCTCCCAGATAGCATGTGTTGAAGGGTATTGCAGTTCTATATCATGCATAGCATACTGTGATGAAGTGATGAGTCACACGGCTCTAGTTGAAGATTTTAAGAGTATTGTCAAAAACCTGCATCCTTTTTTGATGAATATGATGATTACAGTGGAAGAGTTTCCGCTTCTAAAATTGGAGAAGAACAATATAATTATATTGTTAAGAAGTCTTTAAACAAAGTGTTCATACATCATCATGGATGACTTGACGATTGATGATGGAAGAAGTTCTGCGATAAAGATATTGCAAATGAATTTTCTAAGAACAATCGACAAGATGTAGAACAAGATGTTCAATCTATCATCAAGTTGCTACAGTTTGTTTTCATGGGTTTCCCTAAGCATTTACAACAAAAGATAGATGGATAGTTGATGGTGATTCTTGTAATAATTGAATATAGAAACCGATTGGTCCAGAAAAAGTCCAACTATTCTATTATTCTTTTCTAATTTTTAATGTATATTTATTAAAATTGCAGTCTATTTGGTTGCTTTGTTGATCTGACATTTACTCATTCACCTGAAGCTCAATTGGATTGGTCATCATTATGGTTCTGCTGAACCTGGTATCAAGCGTAGTTCAATATGTTTGATTCCATGGAGTACTCTCAAATTGGATATAAGCGCCGTATGAGTGGTCTTTGATGTACTAAATGACTTGAAGTTGGTTACTTCAGAAAAACAGTGCGCCTTCATCATTTCTAACCAAGCAAATGTGCGCTTAACCAGATACTCTATCCTTATTAGGTCTTATAGTTAAGAACTTGGACAAATGATTTAGAGCATTTTATGTTAGCTGATAACCATGCATATCATCTGATCATACGTTCATCTGTTTATTTTCATTGAGCCAGTAAAAACAGAACCTGCTTAATGCCTGTTTAGGATTCCCTATTATTCTACATGAGAGACTTTTTGAAGGACCAGCTAGTTCACAAGTGTTCCTCTGTTGATCTTCCAAGATAGATTCGACCAACATTTGATATCCCTAGTTTTCTATTGGGACATTCAGGATAATGAAATATCTAATTTTCATGCAACTGGAAGCAATATATAGATAATTCTCTAGTGGTTTCTTTCTTACATACAAATATCGATACTTATCAGATTCACTTCTGTGCTTGTCTTAAGAGTTGACACTTGTCTTGCTGTAAAATGCTCTCAATTCATTGACCTAG